TGGCAGCGGGGAGCCGGGCTTAGAGGGCTCCGAGTACCGGGAGCGAGGTCCCGTGCCAGGCACCAGCAACCATGTTCAGCCGGTCGGGATACCAGGCCCTTCCCTTGGGAGATTTTGACCGCTTCCAGCAGTCCAGCATCGGGCTCTACGGTGCCCAGAAGGGCTTCTTCTCCTTCGGATCCAAGCAAGACCCTCTGGGGCCAGCTGGGAATACTGCAGGTGAGTCCCGACCTTAGAGGAGAGTTGCTGCCTTCCTCCCTATTGCCACTTCTGCTGTAGGATGTCGCACTGGCTGGGTGCCCCCCACAATGCCAGCTTCCCTGGGGTGCAAGGGGGGAGGCTCGGATGGGGGTTCACGGAGAGGGAAAGGGGTTTTGGAGCAGGTACATCCCCCTGTCACCCCCCTGCAGATTCCTCCCAGGGTTGGCTATCCTGGATCTGCCATGGGATTATCACCTCCTTGGTCTTCTTGCTGATGGTTGTCACCTTCCCCATCTCAGGATGGTTTGCCTTGAAGGTAAGGGAGGAAAGCATATGAGAAGTGGGATGACAACCCATCCTCCATGGGGGGGACCATTCCCGGCTGCCCCTGGTCCCGTTGCTCCGCAGGCACCGCAGGACCCAGGGTTTTGCTTCTGCCCTGGTTTAAACTTTCCTGTTCCAGATCGTGCCCACCTACGAGCGAATTATCATCTTCCGCCTGGGCCGAATCCGGGCGCCGCAGGGACCCGGCATGGTCTTGCTGCTGCCCTTCATCGATCACTGGCAGCGAGTGGACCTGAGGACGAGGGCCTTCAACGTGCCCCCCTGCAAGGTGAGCTGCCTTGGGCCTCAGGGCAGGATGGAGAGACATCTCTAAAATACACAGCGCAGGTGGATTTTGGCACGGTCTGACTCTTGGTGCCGTGCACGGACCCAACTTTCAGTTCCTCCATCCTCACGGTGAGGCGAGGGGGGTTGTAGCTGGTTCTGTGAACCCCCAGTCCTCACCTGCCTGCAGCTGAAAAGCAACCCTTGACTTTGCACACCTTGTTCAATGCACGTTCCTGGCTGGAGACATCTTAAAAACATCAATCCCTATCCTTCCCAGATGTCTTTCAGCAACAGCCTAGTGCTGGAAACTGGCCTCACCATTCAGACTAGCCCAAACTTCATCATTTGGGTTGGTTTTGTTTCTAATAACCCTCTTAATAAAGAGATCTAGAGCCGGCTGCCAGCTGGGAAAAAAGTGAATGCCTTTGCTGCCAGGCTCTATGCACAAGAGCTGGGCCGTGGGGCAAAGAAGGGGAGAGATCCTGACTCCCCTCTGCTCCAGGTGACCTCCAAGGACGGGGCGGTCATCTCCATGGGTGCCGACGTCCAATTCCGGGTGTGGGACCCCGTGCTGTCCGTCATGATGGTGAAAGACCTCATCGCGGCCACCCGGATGACGGCGCAGAACGCCATGACCAAGACCTTGGTGAAGAAGAGCCTCCGCGAGATCCAGGTGGAGAAGCTGAGGATCGGGGAGCAGCTGCTGGTGAGAACTGCCCCCACCCTGCACAGAGCCCCCAAGCCCCCCCAAATCCTCAGGCTCTTGGTATGGAAAAAACAGTAAGGAAAAGCTGTCGCTGCTGAAAGTCCACCTGGCCATGGAGCTGGCCAAGGAGAAGAGCTGGGAAGATGTGGTGATTAGTGGGAAGCAGATACCTTCAGCCTGTGGGTCTCTGGAGCTCTGTGGCTTATCTCGAAGGGGTTTGGCCGCACAGAAAAGCCCAGGTGTTGTTGGCAGGCTTAAATTCGACCTCCGTATCTCCACCAGGAAAATATCTGGAGGGAGCGGCAAATTGGAAAAGGCTTTTGGGAAGAGAAGCAGGACAGGGCGGTGGCAGAGGGACGATGACTAGTGCCTGTAGCTGACCTGGGCCAGGCCAAGAGCTTATGGGTTGAATATCTGCAAGGGAGGATATAAAAGGAGGCTGGGGAGATATAGTGGTATCTCTGGGGTGTCTAGGGTAGTCTGGAGGTTAGAGATGCTGCCTGGTGGAGCACCATGCCAGCACCATGCCAGTCCACGGTGCCCAGGGAAGAGCGAGGAAAGGGGCCAGCTTGGGAGGAAGCCACAGAAAGGAGAACAAGACAGACCTGTCCTCCCTGTCCTGACCTCCTCCAAGCCAGGAGAGCAACGGGGCAAGCAGGGTTGAACGTGAGTGGACAGCTTGGAGGAGATGGACTGCTAAGCCTGGTTCAGCACCCTGCATTTAAAGCTGGTGGGTGGCAGAAGTACAAGCTATGGGAATGCCCATGGTTGGGGGTGCTGTGGTGGGTGGTCTCCATGACCATACCCAGCTCTGCCTGGGCTGCCAACACCTTTCCCTTTCTTCCCGGTTCTGCAGCTGGAGATTAACGACATGACCAAGTCCTGGGGCCTGGAGGTGGACCGGGTGGAGCTGAGCATGGAGGCCGTGCTGCAGCCACCCCGGGAGAACCTGGTCACCATGCCACCCGTGCCCGGGCTGGAGGGGCTGGAGGGCACCATTGGGCAGCTGGCTGCCCATTTCTTCAGCAACACCCTGGCTCTGGCGGGCAGTGGGACCGGCGCTCCGGAGGCAGGTAACCAACCCAGGGCCACCGTTTCTCTGCTGGAGGATGTCCCTCCTGCCCGATGACCTTTGTGTCCGTTGGCTGTTTGACAGAGGAGTCAAAGTCTGAGAGAGATCACGCTCCTGCAAGCAGAGCACAAATAGGCTGGTAGGGAGGAGGAGAGAGGACTGCTTTGGGCATGGCTCCCTACGGCACGTGGCACAACACAACTTTTCTAACAAGACGCTGGAGATGGGACTGGGGAGGGCAGGAGCAGATCTGTAGGAGCCTGGGCTCAAGACCAACTTAGTCCTCAGCATTTCCATCAGGCAAACCCAAGCCTGAGCTTGCCGAGAGAGTCAACATGGATTTTTTTCCAGAAACCCTGCACCAATTTGTGCCTCCCTGTATCTTTCAGGGATGATTTTCCACCCCCTGGTAGCAGGGGAAAAGTAACCCATGGCAGACAGAGGAGCAGGCAGTAGGAACTGGCAAAACCATATTGTCCTCTTCTTGCCTTGCTGGAAACTTGCTAGATAAGTGGGTTTCTTTGCTCTGGAGACCTCTTCTGGTGGGTCTATGCAGACCAGCAAAGCTCACTACCCAAAGGTGTCCCCTCAACCCGCTTCTGTCTCATTGTCCCCAGCAGACAGCGTGGAGACGGTGAACGAGGTGGAGCCTCCCACCGCTCCCCTCCTTGCCGCCACCAGCAGCGCCCGGAGGAAGCCCAGCGTGGACGAGCTGCTCTCGGCGGTGGAGCCCGTCCTCTCCGAGGCCCTGGTCGGCCAGGTGGGAGCATCCTACCAGGTCAACATCGCCCTGCCCAGCGGCACCCAGAGCACCTACTTCATAGACCTCTCCTCAGGTCACCACTTTTCGGGGTTGTTGTGTTGGAGGCGGGCGGGTGTTTGGTGCCTGTGCCCGCTTTGCATGCTGTGAACCCCACCGAGCTTGGTGGTAGGGGGTCCCAAACCAAGCCCGTTTGGTAGCTCCATGAAAAGCACCCCAGGGTCCATCAGCTGAGCACTGCAGTTCGGTGACCGTGGCCTTGAGTCCATGCTCCCTGAAAGTCCAAACTATAATTTGTTTTGGGTTAAAACCATGAGTCTTCCTTCAGAAAGAGAGTATTGATAGAAAATTGCCAGCCAGGTCTCCTCGTGGCTGGCCAAGTGGGATGGCTCAGAGACCTCAAGGTTTGTTGGCTCTTGTATGCCACCAGCCCAAAGGGGTAGCGATGGAGGGACATGCACGGCCAGCGCGTTGGGCCACTGCCATGCTGTCAGATGTCCTCTCAGCATCCTAATCCATTCACCTGTGGGTGCTGATGGTTTTCCTGGTGGCCATGTGTGCTGGTTTTGGCTGGGATAGAGTTGATTTTCTTCACAGTAGCTAGGATGGGGCTGTGTTTTGGATTTGTGCTGGAAATTGTTGATAACACAGGGATGTTTTCGTTCCTGCTTTTTTTGGCTTACACAGAGTCAAGGCCTTTTCTGCTCCTCACCCCACCCCACCAGCGAGTAGGCTGGGGGCGCACAAGAAGGTGGGAGGGGACACAGCTGGGACAGCTGACCCCAACTGGCCAAGGGGATATTCCATACCATATGACGTCATGCTCAGCAATAGAAAGCTGGGGGAAGAAGGAGGAAGGGGGGACATTCAGAGTGATGGCCCCATACTATGAAGAAAATTAACTTTATCCCAGCCAAAACCAGCACAACCAGCACACCATGGCAAAAGTAGGACAGGGCTTGGAGGTGGACCACTGTAACAGGACATTGGTGGAGCAACACAAGAGAAATTTATCTCCATAAGGAGTAAGGACTCCTGTCTCCAAAATCCCCCTGCCAGGCCCTTGTCTGTCACTTGGCCCAACTCAACCCATGTGAAACAGCGGAGGAAACACCAGCAGGCAAGGCTGGATCCTGAAGACTGCTGTTTCTCCCTCTCCCACCCATCGTGTCCTACAGGCAGCGGGCGAGCTGGCCGCGGCGTACCTGAGCGCAGCCCTGACGTCATTCTGGAGGTGGCAGAGAAAGACCTGCAGGACCTCTTCTTGGGCAACCTGCGCCCCTTGAGTGCCTACATGAGCGGGAGGCTGCAGGTGAAAGGCGACCTGCACCTTGCCCTGAAGCTGGAGGAGCTCGTCAAGGCGATGAAGCAACGTAGATAGAGCATGCGTGTGGGTGCGTGTCTGTGTGCATGTGTCTTTGTAGGTGTGCAAGAGCAGAGGACATATAGGGGTGCTGCGTGGTGGGGGCGTTGCCCTGCTGGAGCTCCTACTCCTTCACCGTTGGGTGAAGACCTGAGCAGGGAAACTGAGGCTGAGCTCCGTTGCTTGTCCTTGTCCTTGGCTTTACCTCCCCTGCCCATCCTTTGCCTACAACATTACGGGGTGGGAACCCGTTGGCACCCCAGCGTGTGCCAGTTTGCTTCCAGGTCCCTTGGCCAATATGCCACCAGGGCACAGACCGATGTCCTGCTGCCCCCACAACGGGCTGCACGGCCAGGTATCTCAGACTGGAAGGGGCATGAGCGGAGCAGATTGGACTGGGAAGAGCTTGGGGACACTGTGGCCAAGGACGGTAGTCGTGGAGTGGGGTGGGTAGCCAAAGCGGGGCACGAGGGCTGGCTGGACCAGGCTGGGATGCCACCAGCGGGCTGGGGTCGGGGTCCAGCGTGGCACTGCTGTCGGGATGCTGGCCTTTATGGGGAAGGAGCAGAGGTGGCGATTTGGGGAATGACCTTCCTGGAGGTACCTGAGCCTTCGCGACATGGCAGTTTGTAATAAGTCATTGCGCTAATTTGTGCTTCAAAGTGCTTTTGCATGCGTGCAAGGCCTGTCCGTGGGAGGCGTGTGGACTGTATATAGGCGTATATAGATATTTATTTATTTTGTAAGCTTCCTTTCTATCAACTCTCCATGGACAATAAACCTCGTCTGCAGCCTTGCACTTGGACAGCGATGGGCTGATGACTTCTGCAGGCAGATGGGGCTGCACCCCTCGGTGCCTCAGTTTCCCCAAGGGACCCCAGGGTGCTGTGTAAAGAGGCCATGCGGTGGCCAGGGCGTAGGAGTTGCTGCCAGTCAAGGAGGCTGCGTGGTGTGGCTCCATTTCACCATATGGTCGTGATGAACACATGAAGTCCTGCCACGGTGAGGAAGGGTTGTCAGGATGCGGCACGGCCTCTCCGGGGATGCTCAGCTCCCCTACAGCACCCAGCACCCCAGGGGTTAAAACGTCTTGGAGCTCCAGGCAGCTTTACCAGCCCTCAGGATGTTTTGCTGGACCAGTGGGACAAGCAGACCGGTCCTGCTGGCCTGGCCTGTCCATGCAAGGGGCTGCTTGCCAAGGTGGGGCAAGGAGAATTGAAATGTTTCCAGAATTGAAATGTTTCCAATTTAAATGTTTCACGGGTGCATTCAGGCCAAACCACCTGCTAAATGTCTTCTTCAAGGCCTGGGACTGGCTGGCACCAGCCTGGGCCAGGCTTTGGAGATCCTACAGGCATCAAAAGCCCGGAGGGGAGGTGACAGTAGTGTCCCACCATGCCCTCTCCTTTTGGGGCTGCCAGGCTGGGTGAACCCCACGTGTTCCTGGTGGTCCCCCCTTCATGGTGGTCCCCTTTTTTGTGGTGGTCCCCCATTCGTGGTTGTCCCCTTTTTGTGGTGGTCCCGCTTTTGTGGTGGTCCCCCATTTGTGGTGGTCCCCTATTTGTGGTGGTCCCCTTTTTGTGGTGGTCCCGCTTTTGTGGTGGTCCCCCATTTGTGGTGGTCCCCTATTTGTGGTGGTCCCCTTTTTGTGGTGGTCCCGCTTTTGTGGTGGTCCCCCATTTGTGGTGGTCCCCTATTTGTGGTGGTCCCCTTTTTGTGGTGGTCCCGCTTTTGTGGTGGTCCCCCATTTGTGGTGGTCCCCTTTTTGTGGTGGTCCCCCTTTCCTGGTGGTCCCCCATTCATGATGGTCCCCTTTTTGTGGTGATCCCCTTCTTGTGGTGGTCCCCCTTTTGTGGTGGTCCCCCGTTTTTGGTGGTCCCCCTTTCCTGGTGGTCCCCACGGTGCAGATAGCTGG